TCCATGTCTTAAGTTACATGTATAGAAGTAAATTACATTTATAGAGGTGTGTATCTACATACATATCTAAATATACATATACTGGCCATATCAGCTTCAGAGATTGTGGCGGGTTGTTTCATTGTGATTGTGTTCTCTGGAGGCGTAGCGCTGAAGATGTTTGGCGCTCAATTGTCGGCTCTCGTTGGCTACGATCTGGATACGCCGCGTCATGTGCATGCTTTCGAGATCGACCCTGCTTGTCAAGCGGAGCTCAAGGTGCATCCATCAGGGCCGGACTGCATCTTCGATGATCTTGCCTGCGCTTGGAATCAGAAGCTCACGAATAAGTTCAAGCAGCTCGAGCTACAACACGTACCAGTACATGTGAAAGAGCTGCTGACCCTGGCCAAGAGCGGCAAGGGCATCGACCTAACGCAGCTCAGGTGCATCAAACACCCCAACCAGAAATGCATCATGAACGGCAGCCATGTCCATTTCGCAGGCACACCCTGCATCGAGTACAGTCCGCAACAGTGTCAGCGCCAGCGAGGCACAGGACCCACTGGCAAAGTGTTTGCTTCTTGGACGGCCCAACGGCTGGGGCTTGATAAAAGCCTCCCCCACCTCCAACGAAAAAGCAATCCGATCGACCTCGGCTCTATTTGGCGGGATGCTTTGCTGTTTTTCTCCAGGGGTTCTCGATTTGGACTGACCCCAGATAACTCTGGCGATCTGGTGCAATCGAGGGGGCCTGGGGACCGCAAAATCTAATGGCCCGTGCGTTAGACGATTGGACGGGTGGGTGTGTGGCAGATCTCAGGCGCCACCAGCAGGAGTGGGTGATCATACACGAGAACTCAGAGTTCTTTGATGAGCAACTGCTCCTCGACTCCCTCGGTGACATGTACGAGGTCGAGGGCACGATCGTCAGTCCGACGATGCGCGGCCTGCCCCAGCGGCGGCAGCGCAGGTGGACAGTACTTCTGCACAAGGGGTACATCCTGGACACGTTCTCCAGCTTCAAGAACGTCCTCCGCGTTTACGAGCGGGAGACCCAGTTCTCCTGGCAAGTGTTGATGGTGGCCGGCGCAGAGGAGACGCTCAAGGAGTTGGAGTGGGCGGCGGGCACGAAACGGGCGAGCAGCCGCTGGCCTAAGGGTACGGCAGTGGAGCTCAAGCCAGGGGCCTTTGCAATGGCCTTATCCCAAGCCGAGTCGGACCGCCTCTCAGAATACGAGAGGACGAATCAATCAGGTTGCGCCTTCATGCTCAATCAGAACCCTGGGGCCCACGCACACGTGTCCACGCCGAAGATCCTTAACACGTTGATCAAAAACACAGATATCCTGTGGTCTTCGGTTCACGGACGCTGGCTTGCACCGTCGGAGCTTCTGGCTGCACAGGGGTTTCCAGTTCCTGAGGTGATCGCCATGATCGATGATGGTATTTTCAAGCCTGGCAGCCTGGCCAACCACTTCTGCTCGTTTTCGCGCCCGCTCCTCCAGGGCGAGCGCTGCCATGCACAGATGAAGGCGCAGGCAGGCAATACTATGGCTGTGCCCATTTGTGGCCTGCTTTGGCTTTACATATTTGGATACGTACGCCCTCTCTTCCAAGATATGCCGCGCCCTTGGCCAGTGTTGCAAGATCCGGTTGGCTGATTGGCTGACTGGACATTATGCTGTGAGTATGCGTGTCCATCCAGGGTTTCAGAGTTCTGAAGTGGTGCAGTGGTGCAGCCAACTTGCCGCGTTGACTGTTGCATTCGTTCATCACGGTCTCAGGTGCACGCGCGCATTAATATATGGCGGCAAGGCTCCAATGCTCCAATGCTAATCGACCTCCTTCTCTCCATACCTTCCTTCTCGCTCGAATTGCCTCCCTACTTATCCGTGCCCCCTCCATCGCTCCGCCAGGCCCTCTCCCTGCACGTATTAGCTTGGAGCCTCAGGAGCCCAACGTTCAAGATGCTTGCGTATTTTGATTGGCCCGCGAGAGCTGAGAGCTGAGGCTCTGCAGCGCTGCGGCTCCAGGTCCGACGGCCGACACTGCCACGTCATGTCATGGCGCATGATGTCAAACATCTGATGCCCGGATCAGTCTGAGTGCTCCGATGATTCCTGCCAGGATCATGTGAAGGTAATCTGAGACGCCATGGCATGGCAGTGCGGCATGTTGCTTTTAACACGAAGCCTCGATTTGTAAAGCTCTGGAGTGCGAATTCAGAGTGCGTCGAGGCTGCCAGCGGGCAGGCAGGGGCTTGCTCGTAGACGGAGTTAACTTTGATGGGAAGCTCTGCCGGGGTGTTCGCAGTCCGGGCTTGGGGCCGAGAAAATGACATGATAACGCACGGGTGTTTGATGTCCCCTAAACACTCTAAACATTTAGCAAGTCCTCGCATCCCTGTAAAACGTCACCCCCCACTAGGGCGTGCCTGGGCCTAGGGCCTAGGAGTCTGATATTTATGTGTTGGCCCAACACATAGAAATCAGACTCCTAGGCCCAACACAGTGTTGGGTCTTCGCCGGCGCGGGGAGACATGTCTGGCGATTGTGGTGGCAATCGGTGGAATCCAGAATCGTTTCTTACAGCAGTGCGTTGCTGAGCGCACTAGTCCTTGAGATTGCACACTGGGGCGTATCGTTGGCAGGCTAAGGCCCTTGAGGCCTTGTCCCCACCTCCCTGAACCCCTTCTCTCCCCTACTCGCCATCTCCCACCTTCCCCAGGCACGCTCCCTCCATAGCCGTTCTGGCCCAAACCTTTGAGGCTTTGCAGGTTGGCAGTCTTCCTCCGTCCTGCATCGAGAGTTTCTTGCCAGCGCGAACACTATTGCACGATGTCGTCGATGCTGCTCGATCGCGAGCCCGGGCAGCACGAGGATCTTCTTTTGGGCGATGAGGATAAGGCGGCCGAGTACGAGACTCCAGTTACTAAGAAGCCGAGGCGCCTTTCTCCTCAGGTTTCTGTGGGCAGTGACAACGAGGAGGAGCAGCGCATCTATGATCAGTACTACAAGCCGAAGCCCCACATCGACAAGAGATTTCCAGGATTGGTTGGCTTGCGTCTACTCAACAAAATCAACGGCAAGTACCGTCTCAGGGCTGGCAAAACTTTTCCCTTTTACGATAGCAAAGGCAACAAGATGTTCGAGGTGCATCCTGAAAATAACAGGCATCAAGATTCAGTTGTGGATGACTACGTGTTGAAGATACTTAAATACGGCAATGTGGGTGCTGTGCGTGGGCGCCCATGGGCGATCGTGAGCGAGGGAGATCGCCCTCCGTACTTTCTCGTTTCATATGGCACCCTATGCCGCGCGGTGTACGCTGCTGCGGAGAAGGCGGAGAAGGGCGGGCTTTCCCTCGAGGAGAAGGCCAACGTGAAAGCTACCTTGAAGGCCGGCCTGGAGGGCGTCGACCTATTCGAGGCGGCCACGCCCGCTGACGTTGTTTCTTGGATGATCACCTTTCATAACGACTGGCATTCCGGAAGCTCCTTCACGATCATCGAGCAGTACAAACTAACGAAGAAGGCCGCTGCTCAGTGGAAGGCCGAGGCAGACTTGGAAGGGAAGAGCGTCAGCGACCAGACGGCACGCCAGGAGTTCTTGGACAGGAAGTTCCCTGAGAAGTTTAAGACGAAGGATGTGTACAATGAGGCGGTGGCGACGCTGAACATCTTCAAGCGCACTGGCATGGAGGATACGATATTTGGTTTAATTGGCACGTTTACGAACTTCACCGAGCCCTTGTTGAAAAATCAAGATGCGATTCATTGTATTCATTCACTCAATGTGGTCATGGAGAATACGTTCAAGAACTACTTGACGGACGAGTGGTACCGCATTGTTTGCGGTGAACTGACCAAGTTCGCCTTGCCGATGGTCCAGGACAAGAAGTTGGCCCCAAGATCCAGCAGCGCGTCGTTTTTGCAGAACCTCGTGTCGTTGAGGACAGTTCCTTGGGCGTTGACCTCTCGAGATGACATCAAGGCTCTGGGCAGAGGAAATCACACCAACCCCGGAATATGTTCCCTCTCGTTTGGCCTCGCGGGCCGCGCATGGGCGGCTGGGCTAAGGGTAGGAAGCAAAAGGATAATTCCTTCTGCTCTACACTTGGCTCCTGCTCCTCACCCTCCCCCGTTGCTGTTGCTGATGCTGAGCCTCAGCTGCGGCTGCTGCTGCTGCTCTGCTGCTGCTCCTCCTCCTTCTCCTTCTCCTCCTCCTCCTCCTCCTGCTCCCCTTCTCCTCATTCTCCTCCTCCGTTTCCTCCCCTTCTCCTCCTCCTCCTTCTCCTCCTCCTCCTCCTCTTCCTCCTCCTCCTCCTCCTCCTCCTCCTCCTCCTCCTCGCACCTCGCTCCCTCCTCCTACTCCCCTACGTTGCTGGGGATCCCTCTCACTTTTCCCTCCTCTTGTGCGCCCCGCTCTCCCCAGGCTAAGCTCAGCCTTCTGAAGTTCAGCATGAAGGAGTCGAGGGCCCTGAAGAGGTTGCAGGAGGAGCTGGATAAACAACCGTCGTCCAAGAAGAAGTCGACTAACTGGGCAACCCAGGGGAGAAATGGCGGGGCCCTTGGGGCCCCAAAGACTTTGGGGAAACTCGAGTGTGGCCCTGACAAACCCTCAGAGCCTCAGAGCTTGTCCTGTCTTCTGGCCTTCCCAAATCCCCCAGTGGGCCCCTGAGAGGAAGAGAGGGAGGGGTGAGGGGGGGGGGAGGAGGAGGATGGAGGATGGTAAGAGGAGGTAAAGGAGGATTAGAAGAGATGAGGAGGACAGGTGATCCCCTTGAAGGTGCTCCTGTGGTCGGAGGGCTAAGAAGCCGCAGTTAGGAGGGAGGAGTGGGTGGGGGGAGGAGAGAGACTTTCCTCCTCAGGTGACAGATGAGCTTGAGGTCCCGATGTTCCAAGTAACCTCCTGTGTCTCGCAGAAGGCCACCGAGGGCGCGGGCAAGGGCAAGGGCAGGGGCAACAAGAAGGCCACTCCTACGTCCCGCCCCACGGTCTGGCTCGACGACGCGGTCAGGTGCATCGATATCATATTCTCGCAGTGGCACGCTGTCAACAGCAAGGACAGTGACAAGAGGCTCTCTGTGTCCGAGGCCCAGACCAAGGGCGTGCTTATTTCGATGGCGATCCAGTTTTGTTTGCAGGGCACCCTGACTCTGGGCAAGAGTGTTATCACGAGCTGGTCCACCTTGCGCTTGAAGCTCCAGGAGCTTGCGAGGCACTCGCTGACGAGTGGTGCTGCCAGGCTTTCGGCCGAAGCCGGAGTGACGCTTATCTCGGAGCAGGCCGACGTGGAGGACCTCCTCTTGAAGTGCTTGGAGACGGTGTTGGAGAGCGAGACCGTGGATGCCAATCCGCTGAAGGACGTCCCGGAGGAGGTGCTCAAGAAACTCACTGGATTCATGGAGGCGAACAACCCCTCGCTCCCCGTCAAGATGCTCCCATGCTTCGCCGTCATCAGGTCCAACGTGTGGCCTGCCGTATCGGGCTCGAAGGGCACGCCAGCGACGGCAAACTTGGAGTCGCTGATGGTCGCCATCTACGACGGCTTCAAGAATCATGTGGATCAGGCCTGGCCGATTTTCTGCGCGTCGGTCAAGGCTGCCGCGGCTGCTGCTGCGGGAGGCCGCCTGCCCCAGTGGATCATCGACAAGAAGATCTTCGAGCTTGCCCAGGCGAAGTTCTACGTGAAGTTGCCGGTCTTACGGGAACTCTGAATATCGATGGGAATGTTGTTATGTTCAGTTTCGTTTGCTTGCAATGGGAAGGAGGGAGGAGGGAGGATGATGGAGTGCCAGGAGGATGAGGAGGAGCAGGGAGGAGGAGGCGGAGGAGGATCAGGAGGATGAGGGACCACGTGACCAGGTGTTTTGATTCTTGTCTTTGCGGCCTGGAGGAGCATCAGGGGGAAGAGGAGGATAGGGGAGGATCAGGAGGACAAGGGGGTGGGAGGACGGGGAGGATTGCGCGACAGGTCAGCATTGCCTTCGCTCTGGTTGAGGAGATGATCAGCGAGCTTCCGTCCCTGCGGGAGGCCGCGGCGAAGGTCAAGCCCTTCCTCGCCGTCACCATCCGCGCCGAGGGCAGCGAGTACCAGGACCTGCTCTTCGAACTGACCAAGGACACCGCGCCCTGCCTCGAGGGCTCGGAGAACCAGTGGCCGATCTTCTGGGCCAAGGTGATCGAGGACCTCGACGCATTCAACACCGCCGCGACCAGGGGCAACAAGCAGGTGCAGCCGAAGGAAGTGAATGAGCTTCTCAAGCGTCTGAAGGTCACACTCGAGAACGTTCAGAAAGGTCAGGGGCAGGGTGGCGTCGGCGAGCAACAGATTGCTCTGAAGGAGGAGGGCGGTCAGCAGAACACGGTGTACATGACCCCCGAGAAGATCCCTACTGAGAAGTTGGACGGGTTGGTCTTTCCGTGGGTGAAGCTTTCGGATGCATCGTCCTATGTGGGCACAATGAAGGCGTCGGAGGCCCTGGAGAAGAAGCAGGCGTGGACCAAGGTAGACAATGACCCCATGGTGGCCGTCATGACAGAGATGGAGTCAATCGAGAAAGTCATTGACTTGGATGACGAGGTGATTGCAAAACAATTCAATATGCAGTGGGTGAACCGCCTTACCCGTTTCATTGAGTGGCAAGTCTTCGATCTGGCAGAGGACGAGATGCCCTACGAGAAGCTGGCCCAGTGTGTCACCATCAACGTCAGCTCAGCGAAGGTGGATAAAGGCAAGAAACCTCAACTGGCCCTTGATACCGATAAACAATCAAAGGATAACTGCCGCTTCCCGTTCGTGGGCACGGTGACCACGACACGCGTGAACCCCTGCACGCAGATCGGCCAGCTGAAGGTGGAGAAGAAGTCAGAACATGTCGAGATCCAGATCCCACTGTACCTGAGCGGCTCCGGGTACAACGACCCCCTGAGCCACAAGATGTGCGTCGCCTGGTCCATGCCCCCCATCAGTCAAGCGAAGACTCTCGACGCGTCTTGCGAGTCGCTGAGTTGGCGCAAACAGTTGCAACTTCCAGATAACCTCAAGCTGGGTGCCACCGACGAGCCGCAAGACATCACCATCTTGATGAAGGTGGCCAAGATCAAGGAGGTCCGTCCTATCACGTGCCTTCGGGATGATGTTCCAGGCACTCCCCTCTTCCGGACTGTGTGGCCCGACGAAGTCCTGCAGCAGCCAGCGAAGAGTCTGGGCAAGTCGTTGGCGAACCTCACCGATGAGCTCATGGGCTTCATAGGCGTGAGCGGCGCTTCCAAGAGCTACGGTGACAGCAAGAATGGCCAGCCCGAGAAGGAAACGCCCGAGAAGATCTCCGCCGCCGCTTCCGATGACGTCAACGACGACGTCAAGGCAGCCAGGCACTTGAACAAGTGATTGGCGGCAGGAAGCAGTGTGAGGCCCACGATGATACGACGGGCAGTTTTGAGTGCAGGTGTGATTCTCTTGTCGATGCTCTACCCCTCTGGGCCCCTCCCCTCGCCACCCCATCGCCTTTCTTTGATTGCATTTGCTTTTCACGAGTACTGGGACGATGCCATTTCGGCATCAATGTGCTGAGTGGCCTGACGGCTGACTCAGCAGCGATTGTGCTTCAAGCCTCTACTCGCTCCAATCCTTGCCCATCCAATTGAGATAAGACTCGGAAGCCCCAGGAGCCCAACATTCTTCTCCTCATCCTCTCTTCTGCTGCCTCGCAGTGCCGATCGGCCGTCGCACCGAGCCGAGGCTCGACCACCAGCTGCGGCGGGGTGGAGTGCGATGGGATCTGTATTTAAAAACGCGATCAGTGATAGGTCCGCCTGAGGACGGGCCATCCCGAAGGCCAAGGCTTGACCTGGTGGCTTCAAGCCCCACCTCAGCCTCAGCGCATTCAGTTTTGTGTTCTTGAACCCCAGCTTGAGAGCTGACGGGTTCTGCGGTGGCGCGGCACTGGGGCTGCGCGAGCGCACTCGGCCCGACGACCAGGTAAGATAAGGAGCAGCGACAACTGATGAACAAAAAGAGGGAGAGTAGGAGGTGGAGGAGGAGGGAGAGGAGGAGGAAGGAGGAGAAGGAGGAGGACGAGGAGGAGGAGGAGGAGGGAAAAAGTAAGAAGGGGAAGGGAAGAAAGAATATGAGCAAGAGCCGGAGGACGCCAGGAGCTGCCGGGAGAGCGGCTGGGCTGTCCCTGCTAGTCCTTACTCCCTGCTGTCCCTGCTGCGGCTGCCGTCATGCTAGTCCCTACCCCCATCACCGTTCATCTATATCATCTGCCGCCTGCTGCGGCGCGCTTTATTACTTTACTGATGTTGTTTGTTGCTCCTCGTCCTCCTGCTGTCATCAGATGCCTTCGGCAACGCTTTAGAACCGTGTGACTTTGCAATCTCCTTCTCCACCTCCTCCTTCTCCTCCAGCTCCTCCAGCTTCCGCCTCCTCCTCCGACTCCTCCGCCTCAGCCTCCTCCTTTTCCTCCTCCTCGTCCTCCTCCTCCCATTCCTCTCGTAGCCTCTCCCCCTCCTCCTCCTCCTCCTCGTCCTCCTCGTCCTCCTCGTCCTCCTCGTCCTCCTCGTCCTCCTCCTCCTCGTCCTCCTCCTCCTCCTCATCCTTCTCCTCCTCATCCTTCTCCTCCTCCTCCTCCTCCTCCTCCTCCTCCTCCTCCTCCCCCCCCACAGACCAGAGTGGGAGGAGGATGAGGAGGACGGAGCTAGAAGAGGATCAGGGGGCACGACTCTGGCACTCAGACCCCGACTAGCCGACTGCACGTTATACCATGTTCACGCAGTCGAAGGTAAGTGTGTGACTTCATCTCGTTTGACTTTTCGGGGGACCGTTGCTAGGAGTCCCCAAGGGGACCCTGTGCCACCTACTCCCCCCCCCGCTGGATAGTGGCCCCGGGGCCTGAAGCGCCGCTCGTTGGCCGCGCCGTCGCTTCGCGGGCTCGTCCGTCCGTCCAGTGCGGAACGAGATTAGCGAGTGCCTGCAATTCTTCACCTACGCAATCGTGTGCAGTTCTTGTCGCTTGAGAAAACCGTCTCGAGCGAAGCGTGGAAAGTGTGCGAGCGCGCCTGTCGCTTTTCGAATCAGAAATTTAAAATGACAGGGTGGTGGATCCAGCCGTGACGACGAAGGCACCACAGGCGTCGGAACAACAGCGGTCGTCGTCGTCGTCCTCCTCCTCCTCCTCCTTCTCCTCATCCATCCTCCTTCCTCATCCTCCTCATATTAGTTATATGCACGTGTGCACTCTTCAACCCTGGCACATGTTTCGTGAATCACAAAGCATCGCCACGCTGCCGTGCACTGCGACGCGGTGAACGCGAGGTACATCCTCATACGCGCCGTGCGCTATCGTGAAACGTGCACTTCCCATCCCTTGCAAATCAAAAACAACGATCAATATCTGTAGTCGGTCCTTTTTGACAGCGGGCCAACAGGCGCGCGTACGCGTCTGCGTGAGTGCGCGTGCGTGCACGTCATGGGTGGCCACGTGCGTTCGTGCGTGGATTGTAAGGGCCGTCAGGGCAGGAAGGTGGGGGGGGGGGCACGGTAAACAGATCGAGCGAGTTAATGGGCCCCGTCCTGCCCCGTCCAGTAGCTTCAGAACAGCCGACGGGTCCCGTCGAGAATCGTCGAATCGGCCCGCTACCAAGCCCCTGGATCTAGTGCGTCCGAGAGCACCTTGGGCCGCCCCCTGGGGCCCCCAGAAACCATTTATGGAAATCCAAACCGTCGGTTGCCAAGTCGTATCCGCAACATAGGAATGGATTTGGATCTACTCAAAACTCGCTACTGCTCTCAGCGACATCTTGTCCTCCGATTTGCGCTACCAGATCAGGCTCATCGAAACCAGAGAACACAAAGCAGGACGAATGCTGAAAGGACGCCAGATTTACTGGCACATCCTGCAGTCCTACAACGTGACCGAGGTTGATGACGATCTACACGATTTTGAGCGCCTCAAAGAATTGAGGATGAGAGATGAAGATTTGCAACGGTTCATTACTGACTGGGACGCTTTATTGTTGGATTGCAGAGAGGCACCCGACCCGAAGATTTTGGAATCTTTATTTCGCACTCAGATTCGCCGACATGCCTGGATGAAGCAGGACATGTACGAGTATCAACGCATGAAGAGAAGCGACCCAAGTCGTACCTATGATTGGCTTCGACAGCGCGTTCTCGATGTTCTGGAGCTGAAACAACTCGATAATAATCAAAATAAGCTAAGGTACGAGTACGAGAACCGTTCTCAGGTGAACATCTGCGCAGCCTGGAAGACAGGCAATCGTCGTAATGGTGACCGCTGCAAGGCTTTGCGTACCTATTCCAGGGACGGGAAGGACGGCAGATCTTCCCGAGCATCGAGCGCTAGCGGCAACGCTCGCCGCAGCGTCTCAGCCCCTGTGAGTTCTAAAAAGCCAGGTTCGAAGCCGTTCTGCTTCGAATTCGCCAAGCGCAGTACCTGCGCACGTGGCGGCAAGTGCAACTTCCCGCATATGGCGCAGTGCAGCTTCTTCGTGCAGAACAAGTGCCACAAGGGTGACAAGTGCAAATATGCTCACCTAGCAGCTGGTACGAAGACACCTGATAGGAGCCCCAGCCGTCCACGGACTTCCAGTCAGGACAGCCGTGGCCGACCACCATCCCGCGGCTCAGGGAGCAGACGCTCTCCACAACGCGGGGGGGGTCGGAATGCGGGGGGCTCATACAACCGACGTGACAACAGACGCCCATACGACCGGTCTCGATCATCCTCCAGGAAATTTACAGACTCTCGCAGTCAGTCGAGAGGTCGATACGATAGATCATCACGATCATCTTCCCGAGGAAGAGACGGACGTGGCGGAGGACGTGTCAGTCCACGAGGCCGCGACAGATCATATCGCAGTGACAGAGGACGTGACCGTCGTTCCATGAGCCGCAGTTCATCCGGTGGCTCCCCTAAGTTCAGGGCGCGCTCTCTTGCTATCAACCGCCGCCCACGCCACTCCGACCGTAGTTACGTCATACGTGACAAGACCCTAATGGCCATCCACAAGGCCAAGACAGTATCTACCAAACCACGACGTCGGATACGTTTCGACACACATACCCTGGAATACTTCCCGTACATCGTTTCTGGCAAGGCCACTCTCGACAAGTGGATCGACAGGCCAAACGAGGGCGATATCGTCAAGGTACCAGATCCGCTGCCGCAATGGTGGTGGAAACAGAGTGCAGAAGCCCTACAACGTTGTCAACGGGAGACCAAATCATGGCATAAGGACCTACACGACTACCGACACGATGCAGTGTCGGTGGCAACACCCACTGCGGTTACAGGTTCCTACGACTCTACCACAGAGTCCTCCGAGACGAACCAGGAGTCAGTGGCGACACCTACAGTCGACCCGCCACGATCGACAGCCGCCCTGACACGTTTCTGGGTTCTCGATAGTGGATCTGCGCACCATATTCAGGATAAGAACGAACTTGCGCAGACCGAATATGATCGCATATCTATTCGCGAGGAACACATTCTGGAAACAGCCAATGGTGATCGTACTGTCAACGAACACTACGACATCCAACTACCAGGTGTAGGCTTACGGAGTTCAGCTCTTGCCTTGCCAGATTGTGCATCGTTATTATCAGTAGGACAATTAATTGAAGTTGATGGCTTTCGGCAACTTTGTGACCCCGACCTGGGATACATGCTGCAGGATCCGGGGGGGCAGTGGTGCAAGGTTCCCGTCAATAACAGAGTTCCAGAACTACGCCTCGACGATCTTGTGAAGATACCACCGCCACGATTGTGCACCTCATCAGCACCAAGACGTCGTCGACGCAAGCGTTCTCCTTCACGCTGCCACGACACATGCTGGCGCTGCAAGGACCCAGAGCAGTCGCCACCAACATCCGAGCCACGGCCCCACCACGGGACCTGCCCCAAGAGAACATGTCGGCGAGGGAGGAGGAGCACGGACCCTTGTTGTTGAAGACCCCCCCGGCAAAGATGATGCCGAGTCGAGCGTGGATGCATTGGAGAAGAAAAGGGATCCACACAGCGACTCGTTTACGTCTCCGCAGTAGTGTTCTCCTCACAAATGCGGGGGGCCTACAAAGACCTGCGGGGGCACCCCAGGCGCGGCTCGAGCAGATATGATCGACGCTGCGTCGACTTCCCTCGAGGATCTGCCGGTGGAGACGATTGCTGAGGCGCGCTCTGATTGTGACCGTGTTCTTCCAAACCGACAGAAGAAGCTAATCGACCCTATGCACTACATGGCCCACAGTCCGAAACGTCCAGACTGTGAGATTTGCTCTCGCACCATGGCGCAAGACGCCCCGTGCAGGCGACAGCGCAAACCGCATCCACCGGCAGCCCCCACGGATGAGGACACAGCCTACGAGGC